TTTCTCTTCCTTCAGAAGAGAAAGAGTACTCTTAATGGGAAGCCTGATGCAGCCTAGTGTCAGGTGACAGTTCGATAAAACTTTTCCATGATGCCCAGCCGCCACTAGGCTTATATATATAAATGCAGCAACTTTACATTCTGCTACTACTTGTAATCAAAACTGCATGTCATGAGAAATGATAGTCACTACAAAGTGCAGTGATGAACTGTTTCTATCTTACATGCATCTTACCATTATCTCCTACTCAAATCATTCAAAATAATTTAACAAAAGTTAACACCACTATCAAAGCCAGATCCACTTCACTAATTCAGAGTTTTATCTCCTCTGTACATTTACTGACAGGCTTAACACAGTAAGAAACAAAGCTGTCATTTAACCCTACACACATCATGTAGTCCAACAGTAGGTGGTAAATTGCCCATGAAAGCCTAGTTGGAGATCTACTATGAGAAGAACTATAATTAGCTTTGTGAAATTAATGCAGCTATTTCTGCCATTAATGTAAGTGGCAATTTTCACAGGCACAGATAGGAATTAGGTATGCAATTGCCATTTAATTAGGGGTGACATTAAAAAGTTATTTCTGTTATTTTTCCAATAGAGACATATTAAACAGCCACTGAAACCTTCCTCACAAACCCTTCCACATGTAGGAAACTAAACTGCACAAGCAGAAAAACTGGTTCAAGAGCGTTCAGCATGGGCACAGAACTAGAACAAATGAGTTACACATACTTCATTTCTCAACAGCCTATGCTCTCCTCAGTCTGCTTTCTGACTGCTTCTCTTAGACAAATATGCTCATTAACAATGCAGTCTCACTTGCTAATAGTGATTTAGGGATGCACATGGCCTTTAATTACGAGGTGAAAAGCATTCTATACCATGTTTAACAAAGAAATGTTTTAATTCAGCCCACCTTAGCATTTCAGAGCTTTTAAATACACATGAAATACATCCAAAAGAAAGAGTATGTCATACAGTGAAGTTAAACAGTACATACCTGCCAAAATTAGAAGCATTTAAGAATGTGAACAAATTATTATAAAGATGTTGCAAGTTACCTCGGAAACCACTTTGCATGCTCAATCCACGGATCATCTCCAGATTCCCAGCACCTTAACCCACCATCACAGCAAAAACACTTGACATCATCATTGCGCCCTTTAAAAAAAGAACAAGGCAAAATATCTGGCAAACGTTCAGACAATTTACCTAAAAGTAAATGCTGACATAGCTGCATGAATAAAACCGGAGCAGTCTTTCTTACCTACATAGTAAAAGCCAGCATCTGCAAGCTGTTCAGGCTGAACTGGAATTCTGGTTGGCCAATTGATGAATGTTTTAACACGTGCCTCATGGGTTTGCATGCTCACATTTGAAACATTGAAACTTGGCTGGTCTCGGGTGAGGTTTTCCACAAAAGAACAGTTTGGATAGTGCCTCCGGTGCTCTGACACAGCATTATCTTTCGGTTCCCAGTTACACAGCTGACCACCGCAGGTAAAACAAGCAACTTTGTCTGCTGTCCCCAAGTAATAAAGTCCAGCCTTTGCCAGATCAGTGGGTGAGAGAAACGTCAGTGGCCATGAGTGAAAGGTGCGTAGCCTAGCCTCTTCTGTACTCATAGAAGGATTGTAAAGCTTATGTCTCAAGAATGAAAGGTCTTCAGCTGCCCTAGTAGTTACTGGGTCTTGAGGAAAACTGGAAAAAGAGCCACTGAAATATCCAACTTGTTCTAAACTTGGAGAAAGCGTTACGGAATGCAGAGATGGTGAGAGACTGTTTGCAACTGAGGGCAAAAAGGCAGAACGAGACGACAGTCCAAGGTTGTTAACCGAAAGCATGCTTTGAACAAAACTGCAGCCAGGACATAGCTCTTTATGTTTTTCCATAGCATTATCTCCTGGTTGCCAGTTATCCAGCGTTAAGCCACAACTGAAGCACTTAACTTTATCCTGCACACCAGTGTAATAAAACCCAGCCCGGGCAAGACTCCGTTCTGATACCGGCATGTTAACGGGGAAAGCAGAAAACGTTGACATTCTGTAGAGTTCACACGATAGGTCATACTTCAGTTCACCACACACACCACTGTGCCTCATGATGCTAGCCAAGAAAGGGCTATCTTCCACTATATTCATAATGGACTGGTTTTGGAAAAATGGGACAAGTCTTCCTCTGGGAGGTAGTTGTGTGCATGAAAGGCAATTTGGAATAACCCCCACCTGTACAAAAGCAATAAATACTTTAATGTGTAACTTCAAATGAGCATGTGAATAGAATCTGCCTCGTGATTAACAGCTTTTTAACATTTGGAAAATTCTTGTAGTTTAGTTTACAAAACTGCTTTCAGTGCAAAAGCTGCCTCATCCCATTTTAACAATTGAAGAAAGCATGTTGAAAAGGAATTTCCCTTGAATCATATAAGCATCACATGCTTTCCGTTCTTTTGCATATCTAGGAGAGCAGTACCAATTTGTCAGGCTAGTGGAGGTGGGATCAAAACAGGAAAAACCTTAAAAGGGTTTACTGATCCTTTGTCAATAAAGAAACTAAAATTGGGGGCAACTAAAACAATATTGTTCTTATCCAGAACATATGTTAAGTGATTTAAGAACTACATTTCACCCTAGACAGCTGATAAGTATGTAGCTTATAGGCATGTATTTTAGTTTGAAAACCTCATTAGGAACCTGAAAAGTAGGGTTTATCAAGTTCAAAGGGCATACAAAAATAGAGACCCTGAACTGACATTACTGAACTGATCTGGTATATTTGCAACTACTAGCTCCCAAAAAAACTTCTCAACTTCTGCATATTGATGTAACAAGTTGTTAAGAAGTTAGTCTATACACAACTCCACATGTATTGAATATTAAGCTATTAGAGTAACAAATCCTATACACTGCCTCTGAGAAGGATGAACTCTCTCTGTTAACAAATCTCGAATATCCCCAGCTTTTCTGTCTACAACAGTGTCAGCACTGAATTAACAAATCATTTCAGTTTTAACCTGGTGCCTGAGTTACAAGTACGGAGTTATCAAATATAACATAAATTAATTGCCTTGTGTCGGGACATTCTGATGCTTTATACAGTTGAATTAAGTTTTTTCTCCATGCCATGTTTATGGTAAACAGAACCCCCAGATTAAAAAAAAATAATAAAATTGATTCCTTAGTTTCTTTATTTCTGCACAGAACTACCTCCCAGAGTTCAGACTGAAGTCCCTATTAAGGTGTCTACGCCTCCATATTGATACTGACTGTTCTCAAGAAGAAATTGTAAGTATCTGTAGTTTCAATCATCTAATTCTTTTAGGTGGAACAAAATCTGTAAGAAAGAAAGAGAGGAGTGTTTCAAAATATACAAAATTAGGTGCATGCAATGTCTATGCAAACAGAAATTACATAAATTAAAACAACATAAGCTTTTTTGTAATCATAGAACGTTAAGAGTTGGAATGGTCCTTAAAGATCATCTAGTCCCAATCCTCCCTGCCATAGGCAAGGACACCTCCCATTAGACCAGGTTGCTCAGAGCCACATCCAACCTGGCCTTGAACACTGCCAGGGGTGGGGTGTCTACAACGTCCCTGGGCAACCTGTTTCAGTGTCTCACCACCCTCACAGTACAGAATTTCTTCCTAATATCTAATCTAAATTTCCCCTCTTTCAATTTGTACCCATTACTCCTTGCCCTATCACTGCAGTTCCTGACAGAACCTTTGGCCTCTCCGTAGGCTCCCTTCAGATACTGGAAGGCTGCTATGAGGTCTCCATGCAACCTTCTCTTCTCCAGGCTGAACAGCCCCAACTTTCTCAGCCTGTGTCATGTTAGATAGAAAGTTTCAGGGAGTCAGCATTACACTGTGATATGGAGTGGATTTTACACACTTAATTTCCCTGTTACTGACACACATGCATAACTGTTTAATCCACAAGCAGAATTTTTCTGGCAGATGGATTAATTGGTCTACTTAATCACCAGCTGTATAATTAAAGGTAAGATCCTGTACTAAAGCTGCAACCATTTAAATTGGTTTAAGCTTGCAGATTCTCAAACGTGAACGTCCAGAGTTATAACACTGACTTAAAGAGCACTGGAATTTTTAATTTACGTGAAGCCAATTATATTTGACTTACAGGACATCAGCAAATCTAAACTTCGCCAAAAATTCAGGTAAGGCCAAATACAAAGTTTTTATATTTGTATATGTGAACAAATAAAAAATAATATATTTAACAGTCTAGTATGGAGCATCGGTTCCTAAAAAGTTCTTCCAGGAAAGGCTCAAAACAGTCACCATGACACAGCACTACGAAAACAGCCCCCTGCGCTAAGGGCACACATCTAGAGCACCAGAAGGCGCCCGGCGGGGTCTGTCCGTGGCCGCACCCCCAGCAGCCCCATGTCCCCATGCCCCTTGGTCCCTCCCTGGCTTCGCCAGGCCTCGCCCTCCGCTCCCCTCGGGAGCGCGGGGCCCGAGCGGATCCAGCGGGGCTGCCACGCTTCCCTCCACGGTCTGGGAAGGCACAGGACCCTCAGCCGCCCCGGGGCTCCTCCGCCACACCGGGGACGGGGACAGGCACGGGGACAGGCACGGGGACAGGCACAGGCACAGGCACAGGCGCAGCCGCCCCCACCCGCCCCCCCGCCGCCCCCCCCAGTGGCAGCGCCCTCCCGCCTGGGCTCGTCCCGGGCCCGCCCGTCCCGTCCCGTCCCATCCCATCCCATCCCATCCCATCCCATCCCATCCCATCCCCCTCCCCAGTACTCACGGCCTCCAGACAGGCCCCGCAGCGCGCCCCAGCCTATATGCGGTGCCTGGCAGGGAGCGGGGGGAAACAAGCCCCCGACCGGCACCGCCCCGCCCGGGAAACTCCGGCAACAGCGTCGCACCGGGAAGTCCCGGCGGCCGCCGGGCGCAGGCGGGGCCGGACGGGGCCCTGCCCTTCCCCTTCCCCCTGCGAGCGAGCGCCGCCGGGCGGCGGGAGCGGCCCCCGGGGCGGTGCGGGGCCCTCGACGCGGGGGCGCTGCTCGGTCGGGTCGTAGTGCTGAGAGGAAGGGAGGCCCCGGCCCTTGACAGCATCAGGGATCTTGGGTACTTTCCTGCCGGCCGGCGGGGAAACCCGCCCGCAGAACGTGCTTTCCTTGGCGGGGATTTCCAGCTCGGCGGGCGCGGCACGGGAGGGGGAGCGCCCGGGGGGGGCAGTGGCCCAGGCTGGGCTGCACACACAGATCCGCCGTCCCGAGCGGGTGGCCAGGACGGGGCTCACCGCAAACCCCGCAGTTTTTCACCTCTGCTCCTTGACACCAGTGTCGAGCTCGGCCGCATTTCCTAATATAGGCAGCTCTGCAGCCTGCGAGAGGGGAAGCAACGTGACAGGCGAAAGACCCCGGTCACTGAAAGTGACAGAGGAAGAACAAGAGGAAGACAAAATAAGATGATGAATTTCCACTGAAAAGGTTTAAGGCAGTATCTCTGAGTACAGAAATCTGAAAAACTTCCATGGCAGCTACCAGAACGCTGATCAAAAGTTCAAAATCTCCCAGCACAGTTATGGTCTGGCATTTCCTATGAAGAAACAGCAGATAAAAGATTTTAAAAAGCCCCCTTTGGGGACGACAGAATGATAGTAGGGTGTTTACACAACTGAGAACTGAAGATTAAAAATAAAGGAAGTGTGATAGAGCATTATGACACTAGTGGGTAATTTTCTGTAGCAGAGTTCCAGTAAGATGAGTTTGGAAGAGACTCATTCATATATTTTCTAAAACTGTTACAAATTTCCTGTCATATGTGATGACATTTATCATATGTAAGGATACTGTCACATTTGAACCATCTAACTGTGGTGACAGTACAGTACAGCTGCTACTGTTACACCATTTAATATCACATAATGATAGACATAGAAACCTTTGCATTTCAGCAGTTGCGCAAAACAATCCCAAAAAGGTCAAAAACTTTTTAAAGTTTAAAATGGTTACCAGATCACTGATACGTTGTGTTAAGGAAGTTGCTTACACGGAAGTCAAGGTTCAAAGTACTGTATCTGAAGAGTGACGGGGTGTGGTATTTAGTTTTGTTTGACATAGGGAACTGTTTGATGTCACATAAGGAACATGCTTGTACGTGCATGTGCTTAAAGATTTACTTTGACGGGTTATCTCCAGTTTTGGGACTTAAAGCAGGACTCCCCAAATGAAATTACGTTGAATCTATTATAAGATTCTTGACTTTTTACTGTACATTCTCCCAAGCCTAGTTAATCCAGTGTTCCTCCTTAACTCTGCTGCATCCCTCCCTCCCTCCCTTATGCCACTCCACCCCCAGCCACTATCTGCCCTTGCCCCTCTGTACCCTTCTCGTGCTAATCTGGCACTATAAACTGCTATTTCCTCCCCTTCCAGGCCTCAAGGCAAGAGGTTTCAGGTTCTCCCTTTCTGCTTGGCAGCCTCATGTCACAATGAGGAGGAAGGGAGGGGAGGAACTATGAAGCAGACTAAAATGCTTGGAATAGCAGAAAAAGATGTGTAGCTGCCCTGAGCTGTCAGGCTCTTTCAACTTGCTTTGCCTCTTTCAGTATAGTAGCAGCTCCCCCACTTCTCCAATCCCAGCAATTCCTTTGCTTTTTCTGAGAAAGAGATAAGAAGAAACTTCCTTCACTTAGCTGCAATGATGTCCCCAAAGAACATGAAGTAAGAACATAACTAATGGGCTGAAATTCCCAAGGAACAGTGCATTATCATCTGTATTCTGTGTATGGCTTCAGCCTGGGACCAGGGTAACTCTTCAGAAGCAGAAGAAGAGGACAGCAGTGGTGCTTAAGCCCTACCCAAGCTAAATGCAGGCTTTGGCTTTGGTTCTCTATAAATTCTCAGTCACATCACAAAGACTGTTCCCTATTCCAGCCCTTTCACCAGCTGAAGCAAGCTTTCAAGATCACAATCTTGACCTAAAACCCAGTAGCGTTGATAAACTGGAACAAGGCCTTCTACTTTGTAGACTTTTAGCTCTTGAGAGGGGGAAGAAGGCAGCCTTCAGAAAAAGCTGTCCTCAAAAAAAGGAAACTGCTTTCATAAGGAGTCCTATCTAATCATAGAGGTCAAAGTGCTAATAAAAGTGTGGCTGCCACATTACCAGTGTTTATGAAAATAAACTTAACGGCAGCGTTGGCTGAAACAGCAGAGGTGATAGAGCAAATTTCTGGAGGTGGAAGGCAGTGCCCCTGCAGCATGACTGCATTGTCAATGCCACATCTATCAAGTAACACAGACAGCCCCTGAAGTACTTGATATAACTGCAAGCCCAGAAGTCTTCTCTGGGAGGCTTAACGAATGTCAGTCTCCCCAAGCTGTCATCCTTCTCCAGTGCCTTCTCCCATTTACCATCCTCTACAATGTTAAAACATCTGGCTTTAATTGTGCCTTTGTAACACACCTCTAAATATCTATTGAGAAGAGAGAGGGAGAAAACACGCTGCCTTTTCCACTGCTACTGCTCTTCTGGCCCATAAATTACAGAAACAATACTATAACCTAGTTTCTCACCACCATAAGGGAATGCCAGAATATCTTGCTAGGATTTCAGCTTTACCAATTACAGGTGTTTTCTGGAGATACAAGTAGCTCAAAGTAGCAAATTAATCTTGTCAGTGCTATCTACAGTTTCAGTAAAACTGCTTTGGTCCTTAAACCTATCTAAGAATATAACCTGTAGTTGCTTTTTTGTCGCAGGGACAAGCATTCAGTTGGGTGAAGAAAAAGTACTCCACAAAACATTAAATGTATTACTTCAGCTGTATCTACAGCCTGCCTGGCTGTTGATATACAGCGATAACATAAAATATCTTCATTCCGAGCTGCTTTTAGGAGTTGGAAATTTGGCATTTCTCCAAGGCCTCACAAGGCTTCATCAGGAAGCCATGCAACTCATCTAGTGAACTGAGAGATAGAGGGAGACTCCCGTACCAGCTCTCCTACAAATCTAAATCCACCTATAAAACCTGTATTAAAACATAAAACCAGTGCCCACATTTTCGAGCTTCCCAAAGGTATCAAATGCCTCCATGGAACATGATCTACTTATTTTGAATTTTGGAGTGTTAATTTCATTGCAAGCATCAACTCCCGTTTCAGCAGCAAGGAGGTAGGGTTCATCTGTTAAACTGATCTAAGATGGTGATTAGCATTTCACAAAAAACTACTGAATGAATTTTCTCCAGAAGATATGGCTCATCAGACCCTTGAGGACACAAGAGGAAGATAATGATGAGAGAAATAGGAAAAAAGTAAATAGTAAGGAAAACTTGGGAAAAACCAACTTGAGGCAGAAAATACTAATTGTAGATAAAGAGCTACTACCTATCAAATGAAGCCAAGTCCCAAGAGCAGAGTAGTTCTGACATCCTGTAAACATGAGATCAGATAAACTATGTTTTGTTAATCTAGGTGGGTGCAAACTGCCCACTTTGTTTTGGCTGAACACAGCAACAGGGCACCTACATCTAAACCAGCAATAATGATTACTTTTTTCTTTTTTTAAATGAGAATTTTTAAATTGCATTTGGGCATATAGCAAAAAAAAGAAGTATAAACCTCACAAGGAACAAATATAATATCTAGCCATTAAGGGCAGCCATGACTCATCGTAATAACTCGAAACGTTCAAGAATAAAAAAACCAAAACCCAGAGCATACATCTTGCTGCTCCCTTTCTGAAGGTCAGTACATTCACAGTCTGCAAAGTTTCCATTCCCTTTTCACGCAGACAGAGTTTTGTTTTCCACATCCTCCTACTCAAAGGATCACGAGTACAAAAGTTAAAGTTTACCTTAATCAGTTGTGGATTTTCTCACATTTAGTGCTCAGATAAATTCTCCCATTAGCCATGAATAGCCTCAATAATGTATCAAAGTCACACTGAATAAGTTGAGGCTTTTAAATCAGTCAGAAACTCTCTTTGATTAATGTTTACTTGGAAGATAAAAAATAATCAGAATGAGTTGCAGGAAGATCTTGGTAAATGCTGAGTTCAATTGTCTTTCTAGATTTGAGAATCTGATCACTTTTCCAAGTTTTATTGTATGCTTCTAGGAAAACCAGTTTTGTTCTTCTGGTGATATAATAAACATTACATTCAACAGGAGATAGAAGCATGAAGAATGCCAAAGAAGAGATGACTGGATTAAAATGAACCACATTTAGGTGGAAAGAGGACCACCTATCAAGGGAATCAAAAGGCTTCAATTCAACTGCATCAAATTATGTAAATTCAGAGCTCCACATTCCTGGTTCTTCCAAACGAGTTGTCTTTCTAAACAGCAGGTTGGCTGCTTTGACTCCAAGTTACTGCCTGCTGTCAGAGTATGAAAATTTCTCTAGATCTGATTTCCCTCATTTATTCCCCATCATCTCTCTGTGGATTTTAGATCCTTCCTAAGGTGTTCAATTTACTTTAGTTGAACCAACTGTTGCTGTTCATGTTCTTGAGGAATCTTTTATTCAAATTTTATTTTCAATACTCCTTCGATTGAAAGACAATCAGATGTGACACTGTTTAATTTCCTGAAGACTACACTGGACGTTTACTAGATTCAGGAAGATACAAGTGGTTTGTGGATCACACTTTACCTAGAAAATGAGTCATTGCCTTGACAAAGTACTCTGTTTAAAAGGCCATCTACCTCAGAAATTAAATCGTCTTTTTAGAGGTTACAGATACAAGGTGAAGTTTTGCAAAGTATCTGTATCACAATTTCGAATGGCACGTGGGAATTCACTAACTCCCAAAAACCCACATGCAAAGAGAAGCTTAAGTCTTCTATTACCACATGCAAAATAAGGCCCTAATTCTGTAAGCAAAACCAGAAATCTGAGCTCTGTGCCTGAGTTCCCAATGCAGCTAATGGGGAACTGATCTATTATTTAGAGCAAAACAAAACCAAACCAAACCCTTTTGCAAACTGAACAAGCCTTAAATCAGCTCTACTTGAACAATGGTAGCACAAGCAGTTGTAGCAGTCACAGGTTTCAATGACAGGAGCAGGGGCTGCTTAGGTTAATCCCACTGGCAAATGGTAGTAAAACTGCAGCCTGAGAGAAGCTGGGCTTTCCCTTTTTATATCCTGATGCACAACACCATGTTTCTAAAGAGTATTTTGAGAGATAAGACAAATCATAGTTGTACTTAAACCCCTTTGACTTCTTAGGACTTAGAGGAGTAAATAAATTAAAAGTAATGTAACATGCATTATTGAAAAAAGAAGTATCCTTTAGACTTTACATTAAATTTGTCACATTTTCATAAGAATATATTAGGGGGAAAACATAGAAAAAGCAGAAGAAGGATGATGAGCCTTTGATAAGGGTTTAAGCTAGTATTTTCTGGCTGGCAGCTACAAATTGAATATTAACCTACATACCAGTCCCCACTGGATGCACATAAAGGGAGGAGGTTCATGGGAGGAGCAACCAGCGCTAATCAAATTAATATAAATTACTATTTAGTGAGAAGGTTAGAAGACTGGGTTTCCAGCTGCTGGAATTTGCTGTCAAATTGTGACAGATTTGCTCTTCAATTGTTCAAACAATTGAAAAGTTATAGAGGTAGAGGGGACAGACAGATGCATTCTTATACAAAAATTATTGCATAAATGAGATGCTAAAATCAGGCTAAAAAACCACACTAGATGTCATGCTGAATACTCACTTGTTTGGGGTTTTTTTGTGGAGTAGGAAGGAAAATTGCTCTGTTCCTAGTGCACTCATTTAGAAGGACCACCTCAGACTTGAAAAACAAAGAACATACTGACAGGGCTTAATTTAGCATCAAGCAGTGGCTGCACTGACCTAAAATCCATCTATCTCAGTACCAGCCAGTACCAGACATCCCTGATATCAGCTAATCTGTTTATATAATGAAAGCCATCTCAACCTTTAATACAATAATCTGGGCCTATTATCTGAAGTTCAGTGTTATTAATTGTGATAATACCAAAGGATCACTTCAGTCCTCATTTTATGAACAAAGATTTTTGGGGAAAAAAAGTTTGCATCCAAATCGAAACATTCTTGGGTCAGGAATTCAGAGTGGCAGCAAACACAGCTGGCTTAGGAAGCAGGA